ATTTGTGTATAAAAGATACATTAAGAAAGAGAAATGTATAAATATGGATTACTGATGCAAAGTTGTTGAAAAGAAGAAAATGTAAATATCTGTTTTTGTTTGCTTAAAAAAATTGTTTAATGAAAAATTAAAAAAAAGAAAATAACATTTTATTGTCTGCTGCCATTTTTCATTACCATTTGTGTCTTTAAACTTTTCTTTTTTTAAAAAAATAACTTGCATAGCAAAAACCATCGAGAGAAGACCAGTATCAAATCCTAGTGATTACATTGGTAAAAAGTGTGTAACATTGAGAATATAAATGTGTTTATATAAATATATTTATATAAATATAAATGTGTTGTATCGAGGCCAGACCTCTTACAACAGCTTTTTCCAGAATTCACATGTAATGTGAATGTAAACCCTGTAACCAAAATAGAAGCAGATTTTTTAAACAATTTACTCAGGACTCATCCCTTATTGTAAATATTAGTCTTTAATTTGCTCCTCTTAAGTCTGAGCCCTGCTGATACGAATGAGAGATATGCAAGAAAAAGTTTTGGCTTTATGACAGGGTGAACTAACTCTATCTTTCTAACTTGAAACAGATTCAGTTCAATTCTGAGTGTTTTAAGTCCACATATTTTAAAGTTGCCAAGTTTGAGAGATACTGTTCCTGCGATAGTGGCAGGAGAGAGAGAGACAGACAATGATCTATTTTATATTTATGTTCCTTTCCCAGAGGAAGGCAAACAGTAAAACCACAGTTCATAAAAACTCTTAGATTAATATCAGGATTTGATGAAAACTTGCAAACCTCAAGCAATTGGGCAGGACACCAAGCAATGGATGGAAACTAATCAAGGAGAGAAGCAACCTGGAAGAAGAAGAAGACGACGACATTTTCTGACTGTGAAAACAATCTGTGGAATGGATTTGCTTCCAGAAGTTATGGGTGCTCCAACCCTGGAGGTTTATAAGAAGAGATTGGACAGCCATTTGTTTGAAATAGAATAGAATAGAATAACAGAGTTGGAAGGGACCTTGGAGGTCTTCTAGTCCAACCCTCTGCTTAGGCAGGAAACCCTACACCACTTCAGACAAATGGTTATCCAACATCTTCTTAAAAACTTCCAGTGTTGGAGCATTCACAACTTCTGGAGGCAAGTTGTTCCACTGGTTAATTGTTCTAACTGTCAGGAAATTTCTCCTTAGTTCTAAATTGCTTCTCTCCTTGATTAGTTTCCACCCATTGCTTCTTGTCCTACCCTCATGTGCTTTGGAGCATAGCTTGACTCCCTCTTCTTTGTGGCAGCCCTTGAGATATTGGAAGACTGCTATCATGTCTCCCCTAGTCCTTCTCTTCATCAAAGTAGACATACCCAGTTCCTGCAACCGTTCTTCCTATGTTTTAGCCTCCAGTCCCTTAATCCTCTTTGTTGCTCTTCTCTGCACTCTTTCTAGAGTCTCCACATCTTTTTTACATCGTGGCAACCAAAACTGAATGAAATGGTATAGGGTTTTCTCTTTGAGCAGGAGATTGGACTAGAAGACCTCCAAGGTTCCTTTTAACTCTGTTATTCTGTTGTTCTGTTAACACTCAGTTTCCAATTCAGTCGAGATCAGCTGAAAGTTAAGATAATCTCCAAGCACAGATATATTTATTTATTTATTTATTGGTTCGATTTATATGCCGCGCTTCTCCGGAGACTCAGGGCGGCTTACAATGTGTTAAGCAATAGCCTTCATACTTTTGTATATACCTGCTTATTAGGGCTTTCGCCCCCCCCAGCCCCAAGCGGTGTTCTTTTTTTTATACAAAGCCAGCTTATTGCCCCCACAAACCCGGTTCTCATTTTACCTACCTCGAAAGGATGGAAGGCTGAGTCAACCTTGAGCCTGGTGAGATTTGAACTTGCAGTAATTGCAGGCAGCTGGTGCTACTTAACAGTGCTTTAGTCTGCTACGCCACCAAGGCTGTAGTTATAGTTCTACAAGGATATCATTCTTAAACCCTACACATTGGTCCATACACACCCAACTTTTGTTACTGGATGGGCTAAGTGTGACTCACTTAATCCTTTTACAGGAATTGCCTCTTGCCCATCCGGTTTCATTTGGAAATCTTATCTGGTTTCCATCCAGGGAAAACAGCTGGTTTATGTAGCTTTGACCCAACACTCAAGTGCCCAAATCTGAGAATTCATGCTTTTCAGAGGCTTCAAAAACCAGCCTCAGGTGCAGTTCAACCTCAAATACCATCTTCCTGGAGAAATTTGCTTCAGGGAAAGTTTTCTTCCACCAGATCAGAGAATAAAAACAAAGGAATTGTATTTTTTTTTCCCAGCACAGGACTGGGATAAGAGAGAGGCTCATGTAAAGCTTGTGGAGTAGACACTTCACAAGGCAAATCTATTTAAAAAGTGAAGAGACTGGGGATCTTGGTGTAGCCCTGGTGAGAAGCCAAGTTTAGGTTTGCCATGTGGCACCTTGCCTTAAAAGGTGGAGGACACAGATTCCCAAAATGGCTTCATAGGATGTGTCGATAAACCATGGCTAAAACAAGCCACACTTAAAAGGGGTTTGGTTCTGGATTGGGACCAACCGAAGACCTTCTTCAACTTGTCCAAGATCCAGACAGCCTGGAAAGAAACATGGCATGATGCAATCCATGTTGGCTGGGGAATTCTGGCAGCTGAAGTCCAACACATCTTAAAGTTGCCAACCTCAACAAACACTACTCCGATTTGTAGGATGTGCACAGATCTTGTGATGAGCATGCAAACATCCTTTCAATCATGAGTTTTCAATCTCACTGGCCTTTGGCTTCCCTCATTGTCTCTCAATCGGAGGTCAATCCTCATCAAGGAGGCAGTTAAACCCTTCTCAAACTATAGATCCGGCTGACATCTGATCATAACAGCCTGGCTAGGTGGCTCAGTGGCTAAGACGCTGAGCTTCTAGGTCAGAAAGCTTGGTAGTTCGGCAGTTCGAATCCCTAGGTCTCCTGCGTGAGCAGGGGGTTGGGCTAGATGACCTCCAAGGTTCCTTCAAACTCTGTTACAATTATTATTATTATTATACAAGATCCACTCTTTTACATAGGAAGGACTGAAATCGCACAACATGCCAAGAACCAAATCCTATCATGGTTTCCACATGTTGTGTGAAGTTAGCCCTGATGAATTCCTCAACAGGGCTATGAACCTAATTGCGGTGCTTTGATAAACCATGATTAAACAAGGCCTGGCTTAGTGCAAGATGTGAACCCACTCCAGACTGCCCTTCCATTTTTTTAAAAAAGAAGCCACAATAGCACAGCTAGTGTACAGAAGTCTAAATACCTAAATTAGTCGTGTTGACCTGGAAACAGCAACTAAACATAACTTTTAAAAAAATTAATAACTTGCAACCTTCTTCCATAGAGTTCATGGCACAATATATGTACTTTTAACTAGGATCACAACAGTTGTGAGTTGCACACAACTGCAGGATCCATCCATCAGTTTTATAGCAGGTGGAAATTTGAATTCTGGTCCCTGGACTCCAATGATTGCACATTACAAATATTACGTTCTACCAAGGTACCCATTTATCATTGCTGAAACCCAACAAGTGACAATCTAATTCATTTTAAAAGTTAGAATTCGTTTTATGCATAATGAACTTCCTGATTGAAAGGTGACCATTCTGGAAACCTCTTGGTCACCAATTCCAGCCAAGGCCCTCCACCCCAAGCACTTTTTAAACCCGATCAAGCAGTAGTCTTTAGAATAGAATAGAATAGAATAGAATAGAATAGAATAGAATAGAGTAGGGTAGGGTAGGGTAGGGTAGGGTAGGGTAGGGTAGGGTAGGGTAGGGTAGGGTAGGGTAAGAAAAGAATAGGGTAGAATAGGGTAGGGTAGGGTAGGGTAGAGTAGAGTAGAGTAGAGTAAGAAAAGAATAGGGTAGAATAGGGTAGGGTAGGGTAGGGTAGGGTAGGGTAGGGTAGAGTAAGAAAAGAATAGGGTAGAATAGGGTAGGGTAGGGTAGAGTAGAGTAGAGTAGAGTAAGAAAAGAATAGGGTAGGGTAGGGTAGGGTAGGGTAGGGTAGGGTAGAATAGAATAGAATAGAATAGAATAGAATAGAATAGAACAGAGTAGAGTAGAGTAGAGTAGAACAGGGTAGGGTAGGGTAGGGTAGGGTAGGGTAGGGTAGAGTAGAGTAGAGTAGAGTAGAGTAGAGTAGAGTAGAGTAGAGTAGAGTAGAATAGAATAGAATAGAATAGAATAGAATAGAATAGAATAGAATAGAATAGTACAGAGTAGAGTAGAGTAGAGTAGAGTAGAGTAGAGTAGAGTAGAGTAGAGTAGAATAGAACAGGGTAGAGTAGAGTAGAGTAGAATAGAGTAGCGTAGCATAGCATAGCATAGCAGGAAGGGATCTTGGAGGTCTTCTAGTCCAACCCCCTGCTTAGCATGCTTCTGAGCATAGACAGAGTGCACCTCCTCTCTCGGAGAGCAAGTGATTACAGCACTCGCAAACTACATTCCTCCGCGTAAAAACACGTACATTGAGGTCGCCCAATGTGCGCATACCCACACTGTAGTTTTGCCCTGGCAGAGCCGGGAACGCAGCCAACTCTGGCCGATCCGAGAAGCCATGGTTTAGGAAAGCGTGAGAACTCGCCGACCCTGCCAACGTCTTTTTCTTCCGAGGAAGCAGCGCTACAGGCGGCGGGGAAAGAGATCGACTCTCACTAACCTCCACCCCCCAACTCACCCACCCCTGTTACCTGCAGGACCCAATCTCCCTAGGAGCGCTCAGGCAGACCCGTCCAACAATAAGTCTCTGAGCATGTGCAAAGTATTTTCCTTCTGGATTACTGCCCATTCGCGCAGCTGGATCGGAACCAAAGCGGCGTGAAGCCAGAAGAAGAGGGGTTTTTTTCTCCCGAGCCAGCCCGATTCCCACCCGCGTCTTTTCCATCGTGGCCCCCTTCTCGCCCCCATCGGAAAGCCCACGGCTGCCTTACCCACGGCGGAGACCAGGTCCCCGTCGCTCAGCTCCCCGGAATCCGAGTCCATGGCGTGTAGGGGGGGAGCCTCCGGTGCAGGGCACCGAGTGGGAGCTGGCAGCGCAGCCCCTTGGCAGGAGCTCCAAGCCCTCCGCACCGCCCTGCCGCTTGCAGGACCGCGGAGTCCCGAGAGAGCGAGGAGAACAAGATCCAGCCACGCACCGGGTCGCTTCCAGCGCAGGCAGCAGCAGCAGCAGCCACGACGACCGGTCCAGCTGCTCCTCTTCCCCCAAAAAGCGCCTGTCGCCGGCTCGGGCGGAGCCAAAAGGCAGGTGGGCGGTGCTGGCTGCCGGGGTGGGGGGGGCACACTCACAAAGTGGGAGGGGCACCTGAGAAGGAACGGCGTGTTTCTGGAACTACCCTTCCTCCTCTTCTAGAATAGAATTGAATAGAATTCTTTATTGGCCAAGTGTGATTGGACACACAAGGAATTTGTCTTTGGTGCATGTGCTCTCGGTGTACATAAAACGTCAAGAATCATAAGGTACAACACTTAATGACAGTCCTAGGGTACAAATAAGCAATCGAATCATCCTAGGAAACAATCAAGATCAATATGAATCGTAAGGATTCAAGCAATAAAGTTACAGTCATAAGTGGGAGGAGATGGGTGATAGGAACGATGAGAAGATTAATAGTAATGCAAACTTAATAACTAGTTTGACAGTGTTGAGGGAATTATTTCTTTAACAGAGTGATGGAGTTTGGAAAAAAACTGTCCTTGTGTCTAGTTGTTCTGGTGTGCAGTGCCCTATAGCGTCGTTTTGAGGGTAGGAGTTGAAACAGTTTATGTCCAGGATGTGAGGGGTCTGTAAATAATTTCACAGCCCTCTTTTTGACTCCTGCAGTATACAGGTTGTATTCCCACACACAGGTTGAGCCAAATTGCAATCTTGGTTTATTTAGCGTATCGTTTGATCGCAGCCTACTAGCGAGGCAAGTTGGAGTGTGTCTTTTTCAAAATAAACCCCGCTGGCTGCCTTTGCATCTGATGCTGTGAGAGGGATGGATCGTTTTTTGGTCCCCACCTACAGAGAAATCTAATTTTTTTGCTTTCCAGATGGGGCTGTAGTGGCATCAGTGGGGCAGGCTGACCTCCACCCATAGATTCCAAGGCTGGTCGTGAAGGGTGTACTTCAGTGGTGGGATTCAAATTTGTGTAGAGTTTCCTGCCTGAGCAGGGATTTGGACTAGAAAATCTCCAAGGTCCCTTCCAACTCGGTTATTCTATTCTATTCTATTCTATTCTATTCTATTCTATTCTATTCTATTCTATTCTATTCTATTCTATTCTATTCTATTCTATTCTATTCTATTCTAAGATGGTGGCCCCAGCCATACAATCAAAGCTCCATTCCTTGTTTTTTTTTTTAAGGTATGCTGCAATCCAGTACTAGAACTAGTACAGCTGCACAGGCAGTTCAGGAAATCGTGATGTGCAGGAAACCAAGAAAGAACAAAATATTCCATAGTTACAATGGAGAAAAACTAACTGCAGTAGGAAATGATCCGGAGCTCAGGTTCAGAAAACAATGACAAGGATGAAAGAAAGAGCTGCAACAAACAAAGAAACATTTGCTATTGTTTTTAGACGTTTGCAAGAATAACCAGCCTGTCCAAGAATAAACCAATCAATAAAATATCTTCCCTCTGTCTTTGGAAATCGAGAGGCAAGTCAAGTACATTTGACCAGCGTTTCCCATCTTGAGGCAATTCACATTTTGGTAGATTGCAACTTGTCTATAACCTTGTCTATAACCAAGCTCCATGGGGGCTCCTAAAACTGAGAAAGGCAGTAAACATTGCTTTAAAATGCTGTATTGTTGGGATCGGGCAGAAAGCTAGACATGTATGCCTACCTATCCCCTTTTTCCTTATTGTAACATACAAATAGAAATAAAAAAGAGATAGATAGATAGATAGATACCGATAGATAGATAGATAGATAGATAGATAGATAGATAGATACATGATACTGTAGATTAGATAGATGATACATAGATGATAGATTAGATAGATAGATAGACACACATATATGATAGATAGATATAGATAGATAGAAAGATAGATAGATAGAAGATAGAGATAGATTAGGTAGGGTAGATGATAGAGAAAGAAGATACTGTAGATAGACGATAGATAGATAGATGATAGATAGATAGATGATAGATAGATAGATAGATAGATGATAGATAGATAGATGATAGATGATAGATAGATGATAGATACATAGATGATAGATTAGATAGATAGATAGACACACATATATGATAGATAGATATAGATAGAAAGATAGATAGATAGAAGATAGAGATAGATTAGGTAGGTAGATGATAGAGAAAGAAGATACTGTAGATAGACGATAGATAGATAGATGATAGATAGATAGATGATAGATAGATAGATGATAGATAGATAGATAGATGATAGATAGATAGATGATAGACGATAGATAGATAGATGATAGATTAGATAGATAGATAGACACACATATATGATAGATAGATATAGATAGAAAGATAGATAGATAGATAGAAGATAGAATAGATTAGGTAGGTAGATGATAGAGAAAGAAGATACTGTAGATAGATGATAGATAGATAGATGAGAGATAGATAGATGAGAGAGAGAGAGAGAGAGGGGTAGAGGCAGACAGAGACCACACAATCAAAACAACTCCAGAGTCCAAAATAGTTTTGATTTAAAAAACAAGCTTTTTTTGGTATGCTTTTAGCTAAAGATCAGCAGATCAGATTTTCAAGGATGGTTTTATATCAAGATCATGAAGTAAAAGTAAGCAGAGTATTTACTTGTGCTTAAATAAACAAATGGTTTCTATAGACAAGTCATTATCTGCCGAGTAGGCACAAGAATAAGCCTGAACTATTTTTTTTTTTGACCAGCTGGATTTCTGTTTAAGGTCAAGACAGTTTCACAGCTTTATTACACCGAACGCTGCCTCATTCCTGAAAACCAAGGTCTTCATATCGAAGCCTCCCAAAATCTTCATTTTTCCATTTGGGTTTCCAAAATTTATCCAGTGTCTCCAGATTCACCATGCTTCCCAAATTGAAATGGCAGCTCGTACGGTGCACTACTTTTTGCTGTTTATTTTCCCTCCATCTCCTCCTCATCAAAACGTTTGATGTTCTCAGAAACCCTCGGTGGGTGTCCGTGGGATGCGATTTGTGGGTGAAAACGTCAATCATGAAAACAGGCCGCTGGCTCGGTTGCAAGACAAATCATCCAAACTATAAGACTTTTGAGTTCTCCCTTAAAATATCTTTAAGAGCGAAGACTGCGCTTGGAGGTGGAATTTGATCCTTGTGGCTTACAGTTTGGATCGAGAAGACGCTGAACATCTGCTATTAATACAGAAAGCCCAAGGAGCTGCAGAATTTCTCCATGATTGACATCCCAAACTGGGCAAAACGCCATTTAGGCCATCAACAATTGCGTGAAGGATTTTGAAAGAAGCCAACTAACAGCCTCTACGAGATGCTGGCCTGGCCTGGATGGAGATTTTTCTTCCAACAGTTTCATTTCCGGACCACAGACATCAGCTTTGAAGATGGGTGGGCAGCTCCTCTTTCAATTGGCTTTCAAGGTTATTTCCAGCACTCTTTATGGATAGCTATTTTGGACTTGCTTTGTTCCATGGGGATTTATTCTCAGGCAACGAAGGATGAGATGACAGACAGGAGTCTCTGGACATGTTTGAGCCTATATCCTCATTAGCTAATGTTCAGTAGATGTTTGCAGTGTGTAGAGATGATTTAGATTTTGAAGCCATGATGATGATGATGAAGCCACGTTGATGAAGAAGCCATTAAGTTCTTCTTCAGAAGAAGAAGCCATGATGTTCAGAAGAAGAACATCATGGCTTCAAAATGTAAGGGACTGGTTTGGACAAAACTCAGCAGCACTTTTTCATGCGGCTGTTGATAAAAATAGAATCATCAACATGATCGCCAGTGTCCGATGATAGATGTGGAAGAAGAAGAAGAAGAAGAAGAAGAAGAAGAAGAAGAAGAAGAAGAAGAAGAAGAAGAAGAAGAAGAAGAAGAAGAGATGATTCCCACAACACCATGAAACAATATTGAGATTATGCCCTTTGTAAAATAGTTTTTTTTGGGTGGAGGGATTCTAGAATAATTTTATGCAACTTTGTGCTTTCCAAGTGATTTAGGACTATAGGACTGATTTGCCAAGCAGGTTGATTGGGAATGGGTGATGAGTCCCACGCCCAGGTCTTCCCTTGACCAAATGTCTCCTTGGATGACTTCACTCATTCTCCCTCAGTCCTACCTAATTCCTAAGGGATGCAGTGAGAAAAGGTCCTTAAGGTCACCAAGGAAATGTAGGTTATGATCAATATGAATTTAAATATCAATCTTAGGACATCTCCTAGGGATGTCCCTTTGTCCAGTTACTTTTTTAGCTGGTAGATCTTTGAGTGATGAGGGTCACCTCATACTTATTAAACTCTTTCTTGGCTAATTCAATTGATCAGGATGCTACCTCTTCCAAGATTATAGAGTTTATCAATATCATCTTGTAGTTGGGCATACAAAGATCATAGACAGCTAGCTGGGTCTAGCGATTAAGGTAATGGCCTAGAAACCAGGAGACTGGGAGTTCTAGTCTCAGGCATGAAAACTGGCCTAGGTATCCTTGGACCAGTCACTCTGTTTCAACCCAACTCACCTCACAGGGTTGTTTTGATGGGAAAAATAGAAGGAGGAATGAGCACAGTATTTAAGTATGTTCACCATCGATATTTATAAGAATAATAAGGGCAGAATATCAATAAATAGAACGATTTATAAAATACGATATATTGAAAGAATTGCACTGACTGAAAGCTTGCCAGGACAGAAAATTACCATATGAAATAAATTGGATACGTACAGGTAGACATAAAATACTATTATTTAAAAATATCTGGAGGACGCCAAGTTGGAGAATGCTGATTTGTAATGTATACAGAGGGAATCCCTCACTTTAACAGAGGCAATTTTGCTTTTCCAGCAAAAATAAAGCCAGCTATTTCCTACAATTTGTCACTCCGTTTAATTTTATAAAGCTATCTGCGCTCCTTGGTGTATATTTTCTTTGAAAGAAGTAGCGGAGAATTGCCCAACAGATGGTCTTTGAGTTTGCCATGTGTTTTATGTTCTTGAAGCCATTTCTCACGTACAACCCAAGAATCGGTCAA